CTAAGAACTGGAGATACGAAACCTGAAGAGGACCAGGTTCTGTACCCAGTCTTCTTGGGCCTTCGATCAAAGGACGGTGTAGACGAATCCCTAACACTAGCGAAGAGGGAGGATGTGTTCAAGGTTAAGGACTTAGACTTTTACAAGTTGAATGCGAACCATACGAGCATCTACAGAACTTGCTACACTCCGGAACGTCTCACAAAGCTGGGACAATCCGCCAAGGATGGCCTGCTAACAGTCGAGGACCGTGCCGGTATGATCGCCGACGCTGGTGCTCTTGCCGTATCGGGTTATCAGAAGACATCTGGCGTTTTGAATCTGCTGAAAGGGTTCGACACGGAGACGTCATTCGTGGTATGGAGTGAGATCATTGCCAGGGTTGCTACGGTCCAATCGGCGTGGGTATTCGAAGACGCAGCCGTCAAAGACGGCCTCGAGGCGTTCATCAAGGAATTGATCAGCGAGAGAGCCCATAAGTTAGGATGGGCTTTCTCGGACAAGGATGGACACGTTGAACAGCAATTCAAGGCCATGCTATTCGGTGCTGCTGGTATGGCCGGCGACCAGAAGATCGTTGCCGATGCCAAGGAAATGTTTAACAAGTATATGGCCGGCGACAGGTCAGCCATCCACCCAAATATCCGGGGTAGCGTCTTTAGTATTGCCCTGAAGTATGGTGGAAAAGAAGAGGTGAGCCGTATAGACTGAACGTTCAACCCGACTATTACTAATGCAGTTTTCAGTATGATGCTATTCTAAACTTCTACCGCAATTCCACCAACAGCGATGAACGCAACACTGCCCTGCGATGCATCGGCCGGGCCAAAGACCCAGCCCTCATCCAGCAAACGCTGGATCTCGTACTGGGCGGCGAGGTGAAAAGCCAAGATATATACCTTCCCACAAGCGGACTTAGAAGTCATGCCGAGGGTATCGAAGCGCTGTTCAGCTGGCTGACGGAGAAATGGCCGGAAATATACAAACGCCTAAGCGGAAACCCGCCTATTTTAGGCTCGATGGTTACCATCTGTACGTCCAGCTTTGCGAAGCAGGAACAGCTGGATAAGGTGGAGGCATTCTTCAAGGACATCGACACAAAGGCGTTCGCCCAGCCCCTGGCGCAAAGCAAGGACGCCATTCGCAGCAAGATCGCCTGGCTGGGACGTGACCGTGACGACGTTGCCGCGTGGGTCCGAGAGAATAGTTATAGTTCTTAGGCTCACAAGAAGGCAAGTTACGATACTTCTGTTGAGGGTGTTGAAAGGAGTTCGTACTGGGGCTATAGTCAAAAAGGGAGTCGGAGAGGAGAGATACCCTTAGACCAGAATAGAAAAGCAATCACTTTGGTGTCCGGGGAGAGAAAAAGAGAAAAGAAGAAAGCGCAACCTTTTTGCGAGCTACTATTCTGTTCGTAGGTTTATATATATCTACGGCTACGGAGTATTAAAGGGGTCGCTAAATCCGTATGTGTGAACGAGATGCCAAGACCGTTCCTTTCCATTCCGAGTGTATAATGGCAACATGAATGTATAAAGGTATAAAGGTACATACCGTACATAATAAGGCCGCAAGTCAACCGATATAGGTAAGTCTAAGCCATACATTAGGTTGAGCCTATGCGGGATTATAATCTTCTAGTCTTCTAGTTTCTCCCCAACACGCCAATTGAATGGAGAAGGCTAGCTACAACTGCCCATTGACGTATGTCGGGCCGGTGATGGTGTTAGCAGGGCTAGACAAAGCTCTGATTTCAAGCATCCAGACTCAGACTCCAGTTAAGTATGGATACCCTTTCCACATGTAGGTAAGCTACATACGGAGTAACTTGGAGATACATCTGTAGCCATCTGTAGCCAAGCAGCTTGGCGTGTAAGAGGCGTGTGAGACAGGTAGGACAGGTCAGGACCAAGGTACCTTATGTACCACCCCCCTCCGATTGTCATACATTGAACATACGTACCTAGGTACATATGTATGAATGATCTATGGATCCGGTCCGTCGCCGGACCCCGCCAGCCCGGCCAACCAAGCAGCACGAAGCCCAATTGTAGTCATGCCATTCCCGTTTGCTCGCTCGTTTTGCACGCTCGCTCACGTTGTCTGGTTGTCCGACCCCCAAGCTAGCCATAGCCCAATGCTTGCTGCAGCCCGCCACGAAAAAGGTTATGTAGATAACTCATTTCTACCTCTCACCCGGTCTTGACAATTTTTCCTTCCTCTCCTTCTTCACCTCATCACCTGTCTCTTTATATCACCTCCCCTTACGATATTCTTAGAATACAGTAAGTATGTGAGCTTCATTTTTATCGTGTTCCTGAATACCTAAAAAAAAGCTCTTGCCTCGCTGCCTCGCCATGCAGTCAGCGGGCTCTTTTTCGATGACATCTCAAAAAGCTACCCCGCCATCCCACCTCCCACCTCTCACCTCTCACCAATTCCTATTCCTCTCCCCTCCAATCCTTACTCTGGACCCCTACATGTACAATTTTCTTCCATCTAAGGTTCACTCTTGAGGCATATATTCTATTCTCGAGTCACTTACCAAGCTGGTGCCCCCCATTGAGCGAATTTCTTACCTACTGGGGTCTTCCGTTAATTACTCAAGAGCACCGTCCCTCCCCCGAACTCGTTAACTTTCAATCCCTCAACTAACACGACAATTGTTCCGCAGTCCCCAAACCAAGATATCAGACGTCAAAATGGCCATCAAGAAGATTCACGCCCGTATGGTCTACGACTCTCGTGGAAACCCCACTGTAGAGGTCGATGTTGTCACCGAGACTGGCCTGCACCGCGCCATGGTTCCTTCTGGAGCTTCCACCGGTTCGTACAGTTTCCTCTCCGTCTCGAGCTATCCCCGCTAACTAGCCTCTTCAATAGGTCAGCACGAAGCTTGCGAGCTCCGCGACGGTGACAAGAGCAAGTGGGGAGGCAAGGGTGTCACCAAGGCCGTCGACAATGTCAACTCTGTCATTGCTCCTGCCGCCATCAAGGAGGGTCTCGATGTCAAGGACCAGAGCGCAGTCGACAAGTTCCTCAACAGCCTTGACGGAACCCCGAACAAGACAAAGCTCGGTGCCAACGCTATCCTAGGTGTCAGTCTTGCCATTGCCAAGGCCGGTGCTGCTGAGAAGGGTGTCCCTCTATACGCCCACGTCTCGGACCTCGCTGGCACCAAGAAGCCCTACGTACTACCCGTTCCCTTCATGAACGTCCTGAACGGTGGTTCCCACGCCGGTGGCCGATTGGCCTTCCAGGAGTTCATGATCGTTCCTTCGGCAGCCCCGTCTTTCTCCGAGGCTATGCGCCAGGGTTCCGAGGTCTACCAGAAGCTCAAGTCTCTTGCCAAGAAGAAGTACGGCCAGTCTGCGGGTAATGTCGGTGACGAGGGTGGTGTCGCCCCGGATATCCAGACTGCTGCCGAGGCTCTCGACCTCATTACCGATGCCATTGAGCAGGCCGGTTACACCGGCCAGGTCAAGATCGCTATGGATGTCGCCTCCAGCGAGTTCTACAAGGAGGATGTCAAGAAGTACGACCTGGACTTCAAGAACCCCGACAGCGACCCCACCAAGTGGATCACCTACGAGGAGCTGGCTGCGCTGTACGGTGACCTCGCCAAGAAGTACCCCATCGTCAGCATTGAGGACCCCTTCGCCGAGGACGACTGGGAGGCCTGGAGCTACTTCTACAAGACCCAAGACATCCAGATCGTCGGTGACGACCTGACGGTTACCAACCCTATGCGTATCAAGAAGGCTATCGAGCTTAAGGCTTGCAACTCCCTGCTTCTAAAGGTCAACCAGATCGGAACATTAACCGAGTCCATCCAAGCCGCCAAGGACTCCTACGCCGACGGCTGGGGTGTCATGGTTTCTCACCGTTCCGGTGAGACCGAGGATGTTACCATCGCTGACATTGTCGTCGGCATCCGAGCAGGCCAGATCAAGACTGGTGCCCCCGCTCGCTCTGAGCGTCTCGCCAAGCTCAACCAGATCCTCCGTATCGAGGAGGAACTCGGAGACAATGCAATCTATGCCGGCGAGAACTTCCGCAAGGCTGTTAACCTATAATATTACTAACTACGACTCGAAAAAAATTAGGCGCGCTCTGATACACTCACGAATAAGGATGGATGACTGGAATGACTGGGGGCGGTTTAGCTCGGGTAAAAACGGTCACCTAGATTATTATTAGGTACTCAATATCCAACTCAATGAAAGAATTTCGCACACATCTTCAGGTGTTTGTCCTCGGTTTTGCTGGCTTTTGCTCCGTATCCTGTGTAATTGTAGCCGTACACCCGAACCCGAAGACTCGGCATAAACACGTAAACAATCCGGATGTCTACGCTAATTCTCCGGCTACATCTTTCAGCACGCAAACCAGCATTGAGCATTGCCGACGATTATGCAAGGAAATGATTCTATTTCATTCGGGTGAAATGTAAATTAGGTACCTAGGTAGGTTACTTTAGCAATTCGATCAATCACGGTAGGGTGGTCTACTGTATAGGGGGGACAAGCTGGCTGATAGGGCAAAGGAGAACGTATGCTCTTCATACAGCAGGACTCGAAGTCAGACATACATGTATTTTGAACTGGCGGCTGTTCTGCTATCTGCATAGTAGACGTCCGTGTAACTTCTCTATCCTCCACATAAAGATGTTTTTGAAATATGAGTCTAGTCTGTATCATAACGAGCGAGGATGGCAAGCAGAGACACGTGTTCGCAGATATCCGAGTCAGTAGTATATACAGCATCTGGAGCTGGGTCTACCGATTGAGGTACTGAACTGTCATTACTAGAAGCAAAGAGAAGAGTCAGCCTCCTAGGACAAGTGGGCATATAGTAGCATGAGTCCTGTACTACTGATTCAACCATCTCCACTACCCTCACCAGTCCATCTTGTTCAGTTGCTAAGCTAGTCTACCAAGCGGGTGCCCTAGCCCTTGGAGAGGTCCACCAAACATACGTCCGTGGAACGTACAAAAATGTGACCCTCCTCGGGCTCGAACCGAGAATCTCCTGATTACTTTTCAAGCGTGTTTTCCTCATGCTCAATCGTAGTCAGACGCCTTACCATTGGGCCAAAGGGCCGGCTCAGTAAGGAACTGTGCGCGGAGTGGAATCAAGTTTGTCTATTCCGTTTTATCAACTTGGTTAGCTCAACGGGTCCCGGAATGGAGTATCAATTCGTCTGTGTAGGTACTTAGGTAGGTAATGGGAGGAAGTCAGTCAAAGAGTATCTAGAGTCCAGCCTTTGCCTTGATTATATTTGGGCTAATTGGGATAGTAATGGCTGTACCAATAGGTGGGCATCTATCCGCTTGCCCAAAGCCTGGAGGAGTATATTATCAACTGCAGACACGTCGTGGCATGAGACTATGAAGTCTAACAAGGAGAGCATTGAAGTGTCACGAGCCGTGGACGGCTTGAGTTGACTGAACAAAATAATAGCACTCAGTTTTCACTGCCCATATACAGTATGGGGTGTTTCAGTAAAGAAGGTGACGATGTGAGTGTATACATTAAACATTAATATAAAATATATGGGAATCGTCCATTCAAACAACACGTCGTAAATCTACCTGGGCTTCGCAGTAAATAACCACAATATACACCTAAAATGGACCTGCCGAATACGAAAGCATCCGTTACAAGGTTGACCCCGCGAATTATCAAGCTTATACTGATTTACCTGCCCATATGTTAGTTGAGTTCCAACTCCAAAGAGTATTTAGATGCTTTGATAAATGGAAGTTGGTCTCTGTCAGAAGTCCGTTTAATACATTTCAGGCCCGAAGACCCGATGATATAAGAGGTACCAGAAAATAAAATGAAGTTGGTTACGTATCATCATGAGAAAGGGAATAGGTGGAAAATGAGAATCGTATGGACTTGGAGAGCTCACCTTATGGAATCATCAATCCACGGATTCGCCAAACAAAATCGGCTATGCGGTATTTGGTAGATTTACGTCGGCAAATGCGCTTATACAGTGATAAATGCCTAATAAAACCTATCGATGTATGTTCCTTAGGTCGAAAGAATGCGAAATCTTTTTGAGAAAAAGCTGGTAGGAATAAAAAGGAAAAAAAAATTAATGGAGCTCACGATTGAGATTAGGTAATAAGCAGCCGGCAAAGTTTCGGAATTTTAAAGCAAGGTGGAGCACGTGCACAGACCACCACAGCGCGAAATTGGCACACAATTCTAGCAAGTCTTTTCCAAAAAATTAAACCCACCAAAAAACTTCACATCTTCACCTCCAACTTTCGACCATTCCAAACATCACCACTCGACAACCAAATCCGTCACAATGGGTCGTCTTCACTCCAACGGAAAGGGAATATCCTCCTCGACGCTCCCCTACTCGCGCACGCCTCCCGCATGGCTCAAGACCACTCCCGCCCAGGTCGAGGAGCAGATCTGCAGACTGGCCCGTAAGGGTGCTACTCCCTCTCAGATCGGTGTCATTCTCCGTGACTCCCAGGGAATCGCCCAGGTCCGCATCGTCACTGGTATGTAACAATGGCTTCTTTTCAATTTGATACCAAGATCCAGAACTAATTGCGCAATGCAGGTAACAAGATCCTCCGAATCCTCAAGTCCAATGGTACGACATGAAAGACCCCCTTCGATATCTTCGAAATTCTAGAATACTTTTCCAAAGTCCAGGGTACTCTTTGCGAGACCATGGCAACAATACTGCCACTGTTGGTCAAGGCTGACGGTGCGATCATGATATAGGCCTCGCTCCCGAGCTTCCTGAGGATCTGTACATGTTGATCAAGAAGGTGAGTCAACGACTGCATGGGTGTAGCTAAAACCTAGTAATATATACTAATTATGCTACAAAGGCCGTCTCCGTCCGAAAGCACCTGGAGCGCAACCGCAAGGACAAGGACGCCAAGTTCCGTCTCATTCTGATCGAGTCGCGAATCCACCGTCTCGCTCGCTACTACAAGACCGTCGGTGTCCTTCCCCCGACCTGGAAGTACGAGAGCGCCACCGCCAGCACCATTGTCGCATAAGCATAAACCTACGGAGGGTGATTTGCATGGTGGAATGATTGGTCTGGTCATGGAGTTCGTGGAAACGGAAATTGCTTTGAGGACAGCCAAAAAGGGTACTGCCCAGTTCTAGCCACCTAAGATAGGCGAACAGCAATCACATGTTTTGAGAACAATACGAATCTCATAAACAACCTTATTATTGCAACGACCCTAGGGAATCATGTCCGTAAAACTCGTAGCTTGCTTAAGGCAATGGTATCAAGGTTGTGAAAACGAAAATCAACGGTTCATGCGCAGTTGTGCAAAACCAAATGCTTTTTCCCTATCCGGAACTCCGTTGCTATGCTTCGTGACCTTCATGCCGATGATGCCTCGAGCTCCTTGGAGCGTTGAATCAGGTACTCGCCGAGGACTCGAAGAGGGTCCTTGGGCCTATGAGGAATGATGTGTTAGCACTGCCCTAGACAGAGTAGACATGAAACAAATACAAGAGCGATTAGACTTACCTGTCCTTGGCGATCAGCTTCATACCGTCCAACAAGGCGACCGTGACGGTAGTGTTGAGGTACTGTCGGACGGGAGCGCCGTGAGGGGGCGCTTCGGCGGGCATGGTGAAGCCAGTGTCGGGGTGCTGCGAGGCAGCTCGAGACGAGTTGTTGTCTTGACCGTTCATGTTGCGCAGGGGCGTGCCAGTTCGTGCAGGAATAGGGCTCGGCGCATTCGAGGTCGCGATGGTAGTAGCGGGGGCTGGGCTCTAGATTGCAGACGCTTGAGGTGAGCAAACTTGGAAAGTAGGTAGGTAGGAGGGTTGCGTGTTAGATGGATTAGATCCGGTATGAAATATGAAATACGAAATACGTACAGGCGCTTGCTCTGTGGTGGGAGCTGGTGCGGCAACGGCAGCGGCGGCAGCAGCAGCAGCAACGGCAGCGGCAGCGGCAGCGGCGGCAGCAGAAGCAGAAGCAGAATTGGACATCGTAATGTCGGTCGCCGAGGGCTGCTCGACGGTGAGGGCTGGGGTTGCGGCGGCGGATGTTTCTCCGTTGGCTGGCTGTCCGTAGGTCGGAACTGGTACCGGAGTCTGACGAATCTCCTCTGCCATGGTGGCTTGCGTTGCTGGCAGGTTGGCTGTTACGTTTTGCGGTGCAATTCGTGGGGGGAACGTTGAGGCTTTCGGAGGTGGATTTCAGAAGACCAAGTTTTTTTGTTGGCGTGTTCGTATCTTTACGTCGAAATCAAGTACCTTGGAGTTGGAGATACCTTGGCCAGCTGTTTTATAGGCTTGTATCCTAGGTGATATCGTTGTATTCAAGCTACGGAAGGTACTTTCTTTCTACAACGTTTTATCGCGTGACTGCGCGTTTCCACAGTTTCGACTTCCTAGGAAGTCGCGTCCCCACCGCGTTCTATGAAGTCATTCAACATTCCATCTTTCCATTTCCTTTCATTTCCATCCTTTTCCAATTTTCTCCTTTGTGCAATATTAGCCAAGATGGATTGCCTTTGGATTGCACTATGATGGATGCTTGGGTTCAGAAATTAAAGCCAGCCAATGTCCAAACAGATGAGCCTCTCTCCAAAAGAATCAAGAGGGACCACGTCCCTGATAGCGACGAGGATTCAGACAAGGATTCAGACGAAAACCTTCAACCCGACATCCCACCACTCAAGCCGCTACCAGGCGCGCGGAGGGTGCATGTAACGCATTCTGAAGTTGGCGACGATGAAGCCTCGCTGCATTCAGAAGCAGAAGTTGATCCCCCGCGACGAACTGCTATTGAGAGCTCGCTGCCTGAGGTCAAGTCTGAAAGAGAAGCCCTAGAGGAATACGAAAACTTTCAAGCATCACAAAGCAACGGCAACAAGGATGCTGCAAGCGCCGCATCAAGACTCGATTCCAGAAAATGGGTGAGGGGCAAGACTTCTATTTACGTTGACGCTTTTAACCTCGCCCTCGGTACAGTACTGGACGAGGAGTTTCATCTGTTTGATGAGAAGGAGATGTACATCTTTGACCAGTGGAATAAACTAAGTTACGAAGCTCAGTTCTTGTACGATATTGTTGAAAGCAGAACATGTCCGAGCTTGATTCTAACCCGCTTTGTAGATATGTACGACTATTCCTTAGAAAGACCGCCTCGTGGCACCGAATAGCGCGCCTGCGTTATCATAATGATATTCAAGATACCGAGGCAGCCGTCGATGAGCTGCAACAAAGCCGGGATTTACCATCGGGTTCTTCCAGTCCGCGGCCGATCCTTGAATCTACAAAACCGAGGTTGACTTCTATGGCTCAGAATAATTGTGTGTTTGATGACGAGTTCACGTTTGCTGATATATCAGAACACCACATAACTAGCGTGGAAGAGGCTACTACCCTTCTTAGTTTAGACGAAGTTAAGACCCTGGCTAAGGAGGCTAAAGTCCAAGGCAAGAATAAGGCCGAGCTTGCAAGATCTATTTGCAGAATGAGTAGCCAACAGGCCGGCCTTTTGTCGATGGGTCTTCGGCGATCTAGTACCGTTGATTCCGTGGACTCGTCTGGTAGAAATACCCCAGACGCAGAGTCACCGGGACCGGGTCTGGGTGAGGATTCTAACAGGAGAAAACACTTCCTCGAGAAAATACTTGCTATAACTGGGCCTTGTATTAGGCTTTCGTTACCGGTTTTCAAGCTATTCGAGAGGGTACACCTAGTCTTCTATCGATCTACTGAATGGACAGAAAAATCCTTAACCACAATCATCCTAGCGAAGATCTCAAAACGCAATTTCCCCAAGTATGTTGTTAGCAGATCATCCAATATCTTCTCCTCGAGAGACCAACTTCTGGAATTCGAGACAGCTATGAGGACAGAGTACGCCGTCGATAATATACTTGAGTTCAACGGACCTGTCACAGAGGCGGATTTCCGCAGGGTTGTGGACATCTTCAAGGAAGTCTACCCAAGATGGAAAACACTGTTGCAGGAGGAACAGGAGAAAGAAGAAAGAGTCTATGAATCTGGAGAGGGTGCTTACTTAAGACGCCTCAACCCTGCTCACTCTTACACTCGAATCGTTCATAAAGCTGCGCACGTGT